CAATATATTCATAGCATCGAGTCAGTCAATAGGCACATGTGAATCATTGACCATGTGCCAGGCACTACTGGTTCCTTTATTCATCCTTTGTTCTCAAAGAGGACCAGTGACATCAGGAGGGCGATGTCTTGACCTTCAAGTGAATTGGATTTAAGTGAGGCAGAGCTATGCAAGGTCATCAGCTTCACTCTCTCCTCCAGAGTCATCTAAGTCCAGTGGCAAGATATAGGTCAAGATGACTGGAGATGGTCTCAGATACAGTGGGAGACTTTGGCCTTTTTAAGCTAAGGTCTTTCCCAGGTCTCAGTTTGTCTGAGGTAACATCCATTTTCAGTGATTAAGGGCTAGGTAAGAATTGAGACTATCTAGGTGGTCTAGATGTTGAGATGGTCTAATTTGCCTTCACATAAGAATCCATCTGGGAGGGAAAGACCCTCAGGGTTTCTGGCCAAAATATGAAAAAAATGCTTTTCAAATTGGTTATTTATTCAAACCATTTTTTTTTGTTTTGCCTAGGCAATGGGGTTAAGTGACTTGCCCAGGGTCACACAGCTAGTTAAGTGTCAAGTCTCTGAGGCTGGATTTGAACTCAGGTCCTTCTGGCTCCAGGGCTGGTGTTAAAAAAAAATTGCTTTTTACACCTACTCGAGCCATCAAAACTCAAACGGTGAGCAATAGAGTCTTGGGCTGGGACCTATTATTGGCCAATCAATGAAAGCCAGAATGATTTGGGTTTAAAGGCATAGTCAGGTAGCTCCATTGGAATCACAGTGGGCTTTTTCTTTTTCTTTTTTAGGCAATTGGGGTTAAGTGACTTGCCCAGGGTCACACAGCTAGTAAGTGTCAAGTGTTTGGTCTGAGGTGGGATTTGAACTCAGGTCTACCTGACTTCAGGGCCAGTGCTTTATCCACTGTGCCACCTAGCTGCCCTCAGTGAGCTTTTTCAAAGCCTGTTTTTTCAGAGCTATATTTCAAGAAAGTGTAAATAAAAACTACATGAGACAGATAGTTAACTGTCCTAGCTTTCTGGGGAAAAAAAAGATAAATAAATAGGAGAGCAGGGGAAATCTAGCCCCCAAACCCCAAAATACCTTGTGAAGTATAAGCAATAAAAAAATTATATTCCTTTGGACAGATCACCCACATGTAAGGGTATGACTCCCACATGGACAGAGGGGCAGAAGGAGAAGGAGAACAAGAAGTAGGAGGAGGGAGGGAGGAGAAGGAGGAGAAGAAGAAGAAGAAGAAATAGCAGCATTGCCCAGCTCGAACTGTTTGGTGGTTGGGTCCCCAGGGGGAAGCTACTACTATTCACATATTCACAGATTGTCATTTGTCCTTCATTCTTGAAGAGAACCAATGACAGCATGAGGGTAATGTCTTGACTTATGAGTGAATTGGATTTAAGTGAGGCAGAGCTGCACAAAGTCATCAGCCTCACTGTCTCCCCTCGTCACAAGACAAAGGTCCAGATGACTGGCGATGTCCCAGCAGCAGGCACTATACTTAGTACTAGAGATAAAAAAAGGAAAACAAAAAACAGTCCTTGCCAACAAAGAGCTTACTTTCTATGGGGGACAGACAAACCTGAAAATAACTAAGTATGTAATAAATAGAGATACAGAGTAGTTGGAGGGTCATCTTAGAGGGGAAGAAGGCATTAGCAGTGGGGAAGGACTGGGAAAGGCTGGCAGAAGGTAAGACTTGAGGTGACTCTTGAAAGAGGCCAAAGATATGAAGAGACAAAGATGAGGAGGGAGAGCATTTCAGCTATGGGACACAGCCAGTGCAAAGACAAGGAGACCAGAGATGGGGTGTTACATGCACTGGACAGCAAGTAGCTGGATCATAGAGTGTGTGAAGGGAAGAAATGTGTAAGAAGACTGGAAGCGGAGGAAAGGACCAAGTTGTAAACAACTTTAAGTGTCAAAAACATAGGATTTTCTATTTTCTCTCTGACATAATAAAGAACCAATGGACATTCTATTACCTCACAGTCCACCCCCATCCCCCAAGACTACTTGACCACTCCTAGATCCCTCCCATAGTCTTTCTGTATATAAGGTCCATCTTGTCTCCATTAAGGTGCTTAGATTCTTAAATCTAGCCACTGCTCAGATTCTTAAAATCTAGCCAATAGCTCAGTAATGTTCAGACTCCTGAAGAGTCTGTCCAATATGGCGGATGTTCTAATAAACCTTGTCTTTGGCTGAAAGAAAAAAAACAAAGAACCAATGGAGTTTATTGAGTAGGACACTGGGCTGGACGTGGTTAGAATCATTTTGTTTTCTGTGTGGAGGCTGAATAAAATAAAGTGAATGAGTAGAGATTAAAGGCAGGGAGACCAAGCAGCTGCCTACTGCAATCGTCCAGGTGAGAAGCGATGAGGGCCTGCACCAAGGTGGTAGCAGTGTCAGAGGAGAGATGGCGGTGCATAGGAGAGACATTATGAAGGTAAAATGAGCAGGCCTTGATAAGTGATCATTGGGTGGGAGGAAGATAAGAAGGAGTGAGGAGTCGAAGACGATACCTAGATTGAGAGCCTCAGTGACTGGGAAGATGCTGGTATTCTTCACATGACAAGAGAAGTTAGGGAAAAGGGATTTCTTTTTTTTGAGGAAAGAACGAGTTTAGTTTTAGAAATGTTGAAATGCCAGTGGAACATCCAGTCATTAGACATCATTAGTTAGTGATGTGGGACTACAGCTCAGGAGAGAGTCTAGGGCTGGAAATGATATGCAAAGAGATGATAATTTAACCCATGGGAGCTGATGAACTCACCAAGTAAGAGAGTATAAAGACAGAAGCCTTGGAAGAAACCTCTGTTAGCCTAGACAGCTCATTCCGCAAGCAGGGTATTTCCAGTCACTCAATAAGCATTTATGAAGTGCCTACTGTGTGCCAGGCACTGTGCTAAATGCCAGGGATAGAAGAAAGGTAAAAGACAGTATTTGCGCTCAAGGATCCCACAGTCTAACAGGGTAAATTGGAGATAATCCCCTACAGGAAGGAAGGCACCAGAAGAGGGATTAAGAAAGGCTTCCTATATTGTTTATTATCTGGGTTAAGTGACTTGCCTAGGGTCACATAGCTACTAAGTGTCAAGTGTCTGAGGCCAAATTTGAACTCAAGTCCTTCTGACTCCAGGGCTGACGCTCTATCCACTGTGCCACCTAGTTGCCCCTCTATATTGTTTTGGAAAGTATCCTGCTATTTCTGGAAAGAGACTGGGAGAGGACCGAAAGAACTTATGCCCTGAGAGAACTGAATTCAAATTGGTTTTTGTTGTTGTTAGTCAATGGGGTTATAGTGACTTGCCCAGGGTCACACAGCTAGTAAGTGTTATGTGTCTGAGGCTGGATTTGAACTCAGCTCCTCCTGAATCCAGGGCTGGTGCTCTCTCCACTGCACCACCTAGCTGCCCCTTATATATTTCTAATAAATAAGAATTTTAATAGACTAGCTGTAATCTCCAGTGCTGAATAGTAGGGCTGTTTTTTAGATGTAAGAAGTCAAGGGTAAAAGTGACAAAGGTCACAAAAGGCTCTGATTTTTCTCACCACTAAAACATTCTAAAGTTATTACGTTTTATTGTTAGCTAAGGTGTTAACACACTGCATAGCAAGTTATTTTGCTATTTATTCAAGCTTAGGAAATTACAGATTTTGAGACATCTAAGAGATGAATAACTGGTTATGAGGGAAAGAAGATAGGGTCTAGTTTGTTAGCAAACATTTGGCACTAATAAATGCTTAATAAACAAGGTATGGTACGGAGCTGATGGACTAATGAGTATGCGAGTGGTTGCAGTTTTAGTCATTAAAAAGGAAATAATCCGAACATCCCAGAATCTTGGACAATGAGAATGAACATGACAATGAGGAGGAGGCTGGGGGTCGACCACTCCATAGAGGCTATAGTGAGTATGGTCTACACTAAAACAGTGTTACATTTAAAACGAACCAAGAAACCCAAGCATTTGAGTGTCTACTCTGAGCCAGACATCTTCTTTCAAGGAGCTTACATTCTATTAGGGACATTTACAAATATGTTTATATACTAAATAGGAAGGTGCAATTCCAGTGAATGAACAATGTTTCCAGATGAACACTTGACAAATAATATAGATACAGATATACACGATGTATATATAATACATATGTATATAACTTTATATATACATATATTTACATATACATATCCTATATATACACAACGTATATAAAAGCTCCTCCCAGAGGAACCAACACTTCTGCGCATGAACGCGGGCTGTTTGGGATGAGGACGCCCTGAGTAGATGCTGCCTGAGCTGGAGGGGATCCGCACCCCTTCCCTCAGCTCGGACCTGGCCCGGGCTCTCCCGCTTTCTGGGACAGAGAAGCAGGCTGGGCTGTCACAGAAACTACGTATCATTTGCTTTCCTGGCTATGGCAAGCCACATATGCGCTTTGGTCACCAGATGGTGCTAGACGCTGCAGGCGCCAGACTAGGTCAGCCTTAGAGGAACTCCGTGCGCCTGCGCGGCTGCTCCAGCGGCTGCAGTGCCCCCTTTGCTCGCTAGAGGGTACTCCGATCACACGACTGGATCCCAGCTCTTGAGGCACGTGGGCTTAGGTGTCTAGGAATCACAGCATGTGATGTGAAATGATGCCTTCCTTGGAGAAACAAGGATCTGCATCGCTCCCTTTCAGGTCGCACCCCAAGCTTCCGAGGAACGCCAGTTACTGGGGCTGTACTTGGGGTCTGGCATCCAGACCCAAGTGCGCGGGGCGATGCAAAGTCGGACTGCAGCGAGCGGATAGGCCCAGGACGAACCAGCCGAAGATAGCCGCGCCCCCTTCCGGATTGTGGGCGGGTCTCCCCCGTGTCATGTCCTGTCCTGGGCGGGACTGTTGGTGATGACGTTCACCGCGGGGCGGGAACTTCGTGGATGTCATTCCCCCCCGGTGGGCGGGGCCCGATGACGCTTGGCGGCTCCTGAGAGGCGGGGGCCGGGGTTCATTGATAAAAACGCTCGGGCTCTCCGGGGCTCTAGCTGAGAGCTGAGCGTAGCTGCCAGAGGAGGTGGGAGGGCTGGCAAGAGGCCGGAGTCGCATGCGCGGACCTCGGGGCCATGGAGCCGGCCGCCTTTCTCTGCCCGCAGTCCTTGGCCAGCGCCGAGCCCCGCGCTTGGGCCCCCGGCAGAGACAGTGACTCCAGGGCTGGGACCCGGGAGCCCGAGCGCGGCCGCCTGGGAGCCGATCCGCTGCTGGACCCCACCCGCCTCATCAGGGACCCGCAGAGTGGCCGCACTTACCACCGGGGCCGCCTCCTGGGCAAGGTAGAGTAGGGGTAAGGGGAAGAGGCGAGACCACGGATCTGAGCCCCGGGACAGTGGGGAAGGTCTCGGGCTGTAAAAGTCGGCTCTTTGACGTCAGGGAGGGGAGACTGAGTCAGCAGTAGGGAGGCGGGGCCGGCTGAGTGAGGACCCCAGCGCCCTGACTGCCTCCCCGTTCCCGATCCAGGGGGGCTTCGCCCGATGCTATGAAGCCACGGACACCAGCAGTGGCCATACATACGCGGTCAAGGTCATTCCCCAGAGCCGGGTGGCCAAACCACCCCAGAGAGAGAAGGTAAGTCAGGTGGGAGGAATGGAGTTTCTGGCTGGTCTAGGACTGGTCCTGGAGAAGGGGAGGAGTGGGGGTTGAGGAGGAGGAGCCCGTGGCTAGAGTGGCCCTTCTCTCCCCTCCTAGATCCTTCAGGAAATCGCCCTACATCGAAGCCTCCACCACCGTCACATCGTTCGCTTTTCGCACCACTTTGAGGACGAAGGCAACATCTACATATTTCTGGAGTACTGCAGCCGAAAGGTTTGGGGGCCCAGCATGGGGCTTAGGTTTCAGATGAGTCCTGACTTTGAAACTCAGGGTCGTGGCCGAGGCCAGGCCACTTTCTGTGTCTCAGTTTCCTCCTATCTGAGCTGGGGCAGCTAGGCTCAAAGGGCCCTTTTAGCTCTGCTGTTCCATCATCCTAAGAGCCGTGTGAGGACTCTCCCTTGGATAATGGGGGTCAGGGGGACCTGATTAGACCAATGGGCTGCTGCTGTAGCCTGTGGCCTCCTGAAAAACTCCCATCCCAAATTTTCCTCCCAACCTCCCTAAAGGGAGGAAAGGAAGGCAAGTTCCCTTTTCATCCCAGAGCCACAGAGGGGCCAGATTGGGAAGGACCCTGGAGCTCAGCTCCTTTGTTTCACAGAGAGGGAAATGAAGCCCCAAGGCTGAACAAGAGGGTATGAGGCTCTCTGCTATGGTCCCCTGCCTTCTCTAATTCCCTGTTTAAGGTTCCTGACAGTTTTCTCCCCCACTAGTCACTGGCACACATCTGGAAGGCAAGGCACACACTTCTGGAGCCTGAGGTCCGGTACTACCTTCGACAGGTTATTGCTGGCTTGCGCTACCTGCATCAACGAGGGGTCCTACACCGAGACCTCAAGCTGGGTGAGTCTCAGGAGAGGGACCCTGGCCCAGCTAGGGCTGGGCTAAGCCCAGAGAATGTTCAGGGCCACTTCCAGGAGGGAGCTGTGCCTTACTTCCCCTTCCTGGGTACCTGAAGGCATAAAAGCCAAAGCAAGGGGCAGAAGGGGGAGAGCTGACCATGGGTCAGGAAGCCTGTGCCCCATTCCTAACCCCCCTGCTGACTCTTGGCCTTCAGGAAACTTTTTCATCACGGAGAACATGGAACTGAAGCTTGGGGATTTTGGACTGGCTGCTCGGCTGGAACCTCAGGATCAAAGGAAAAAGTAGGTGGCTGGGGTCTTGGGGAAGCCCAGCCCCTTCTTAGCCAGAGGGGCCTGGGGGACCAGCTGGGAGTGTAGTCTTCTGTCTCTAATAGCCCTCTATTGTCCCTAGGACAAGGGGGTGTTATCTGGATCCTGGAGACAGTCTGGGTCTTTGTTCTCAGCTAGGAATGGGCCGGGCGGGGGGAGCAGGGGGAGGCAGGCAGTTGTATCCTTTCAAACATCCCCCCCCCCCAAGCACAGAGCAAGGCCTGCTGGGCTTGTGGGGGAAGGGCCAGCTGGAAGGATAAGTCTCTGGCAGGCAATTCCAACGTAGGAGACCAAAGGCCCCTCTGACCCCTCCCCTCTGTGCCCTCAGGACCATATGTGGGACCCCCAATTATCTGGCTCCTGAGGTGTTGCTACGCCAGGGTCATGGCCCAGAGTCTGACGTGTGGTCATTGGGCTGTGTCATGTAAGTATGTCCCCTAAGGGGGCTTGGGCTGGGGAGAGAAGGAGGGCATAGGGCTCAGTCAGGCACTTTTGGGAAACCAGGTCTTCCTGGCATTGGAATAAGGCTTAGGATGAGAGCCTACTGAGCTCATGGCCCATGGCTGCCACCCCCCCTCCCAGGTATACACTGCTGTGTGGGAACCCCCCCTTTGAGATGGCTGACCTGAAGGAGACGTACCGTTGCATCAAGCAGGTTCAGTACAAGTTGCCCACCTACCTCTCTGTGTCTGCCCGACACCTCCTTGCCGCCATCCTTCGCCCTGTGCCCCAAGACCGGCCCTCACTGGAGGAGATCCTTCAGCATGAATTCTTCACCAAGGTCTGTACCCAGCCCAGGTGACATGGCCCAGTCTGTCTCTGAGGCCTTTTGGTGCCAGGGCCCCATCTGATGCTAGGCTTCTGTTCCTCTTTTCTCAGGGCTATACCCCGGCTCAACTGCCCCCCAGCAGCTGCACCACAGTCCCTGACCTGACCCCCCCCAGCCCTGCCCAAAGCCTCTTTACTAAAGTGACCAAGAGCCTCTTTGGCCGCAAGAAGAACAAGAGTAAGCCAGATGTGATGGGCAGCAGGGAGCTGGAGAGCCATGGAGGGTTAGGGGAGGAGAGAGGAGAGGGGGGAGTGCAGTGGGGAGCCCTGGGCAGAGCAGAGCAATAATGCTCTGGTGCCTCTCATGCCCAGGTAAGATAGCCCTCCAGGAGCAGGACAATCTCTCCCGCCTCGTCAGTGACCTCGTGCTTACCTCCATCTGCCCTCAGAGTAGCTCCAAGGAGCCAAGGCTTGCCCAGGTGAGGAGGGGAGTCAGGGGTGTGGGGGCAGGTACCTTTGGCCCTCCTGACCTTGGTGACCCAGCCTGACTCACCCCTATGCTGCTGGGTGAAGCACCCTGGGATGAAAGGGGCCTGGCAGCATCCAGCTTCCTCCTAGCCTAATTGCCTTTGCTTCATTAGGCCCTGGCTATGGGCGTGACTGTCACAGTCAGGGACCCCAGAGGTCAATAATAGGAAATGGCTGGGGAGGGTACCTCTCCTCCTCACCTGCCCTGCCCCCACATTGCTTTCTCCCTCTCTCCCCAGGAGGAAACTGATGTTGCCCCCAGCCTAGCAGAATCTGCCCCTGAGGAGGGCTCCCCCAGGTCCTTGGCAGCCATGGGCAGCAGCTGTGAGGGTGAGCTGGGGGAAGAGGGGAAGTTCACAGGGGTGCCCTGGTTTGGGGCAGCCTGGGAAACTGTTGTGGGCCCTCATTTCCCACACACACACATTGCCAGGGTCTGAGGAGTGTCTGACGGCAGCCACAGTCATGGAGTCTACCCTGTGTGCCCTCCGCAACTGCCTGGCCTTCATGCCCCCAGGTACCTGGAGAGGGTGGTCGAGATCTGGGGCTAGAGGTGTCTGTTCAAGCAAAGAGGAAGGGCAGAGGGTGGAGAATCTCTGGAAGCCTGTGGAGTTAGGGCAGTCCCCTCACCCTTTTCTATTCATCCTGCTCCCTCCTCAGCTAAGCAAAACCCAGCACCCCTGGCCTCTCCAGAGCACCTGCTGTGGGTCAGTAAGTGGGTAGACTACTCCAACAAGTATGGCTTTGGCTACCAGCTGTCCAGCCGGCGGGTGGCTGTCCTCTTCAATGATGGCACACACATGGCCCTGTCCTCCAACAGGAAGTAAGTAGCCCTCCCTTCTGGTGGGGAAAAATCCCTGGGTTCAGACCCCATTCTGGCTCCTTCCTCCTGGAGGGTTCGGGGAAAGCTATCGGTTTCCCCATATATAAAAAGCAGCTCTGCCTACCCACACTGCTCTCTGAGGTCCTCTCAGCTCTGACAGCACCAGCCTGACCCCTGCTTTCCCTAGGACGGTGCATTACAGCCCAACCAACACCAAACACTTCTCCTTCCCTGTGGAGGCCGTCCCTCAGCAGCTGCAGGGCCAGCTCGGGGTCCTTCAATACTTTGCCTCCTACATGGACCAGAACCTCATGAAGGTGGGTCAGGGTACAGGTGAGGGGTGAAGTCCATACACCTGGGTGTCTCTGGGCAGTTCCCTTCTGCTGCCTGGGACCTAGAGATTTCATTTGAGAAATGAAAGGTTGAGCCATCAGCCACCCCAGAAGAGGCCTGACCTAACCAGGTATCTGTCTGCCCTAGGGTGGGGACCTACCCAGCATGGATGAGGCTGAGGGCCCTACAGCCCTGCTCCTGCAGTGGGTCAAGACTGACCAGGCCCTGCTTCTCCTGTTAAGCGATGGCACGGTGCAGGTGAGCCAGGCAGGGCTGAGGGCAGAGGAGGGAGGGGCTGCATTGCCAGAGGCCCTCACCCACCTTGTCCGCACAGGTGAATTTCTACATGGACCACATCAAGCTGATCCTGAGTGGCTGGGAGCCCCTGCTCATCACCTTTGTGACCCGGGACCGCCGGGCACGCACTTACCAAGCCCCTCACCTGCAGAGGCTCGGCTGCACACCGGACCTCCGGCTGCGTTTGGGCTACGTCCTGCGCCTGCTTCGACAGCGCAGCGGGACCTAGGGGGCCCTGCCTGACTGCCCTCCTGGGGGCACTCGAAGGCTAGTGGGGTCCCTGATCACGGACTCAGAGCCCCCTCCCAGGGCTACCTCCAGAACCTGTCCCAGCTGGCTTGGGAGGGAAGCGGGTCTGGGGGGAAGGGCCGCCCCGGCTCAGCGCCCAGCCCTGAGGCTTTGAGGGGTGGTCTCCCCACTAGGAGAGGGACCTTAAAGTAAGAGCTGGGCCCCCCAACCGCCAGGTCCAGCCTCTAGGCCTTTGTTCTGAGGGGGTGTTGCTGCCCCTGGAGGGCTGCCCCCCCTCCCCCTCCCCACAGGCGTTATTTATGACAATAATTATTTTTATTTATTCTAAGCTTGGTTTATTTATTGGGCTCGCCCTGCGCCAGTCACTCGCAGTAGACGCCGTGCACCACGGCCACGGCGAAGAGTGCGCCTGCGCACACTGACGCGGACGCGTGCCCGTCGCTGCCGGCGTCCCAGAGTGCTCGGCTCGCCACGCGCATACCCTGGCCCGCGCGCTGCCCGACCACCACGGTGCACACCAGCTTGTAGCGCGGCGGTAGCAGCTCACGGATGCGCATGCGCACCAGCTCGCACAGGCCACGCGCCAGCGCCCCGGCCCCGCCCGCCGAGTAGCGCGCGCCGTTCAGCGCCCCGCTCAGCACTGCCTCTAAGGCGCACTGCGCGTGCCCCGCCTCCCAGCGCGCGCCGGGGGCGGGGCCTGGACTCAGCCACGCCCCCAAGGCCGGCGCAGGCGCCCGCCGAGGTCGGTTTCCCGGAAGCGAGGAGAGCGCCAGGCCCAACGAGGAACGCCGAGGCCTGAGCCCCGGGGCGGCAGCCAGCGAAGGGCGGCGCGATGGGGCCAGAACCGTCCCGAGCAGGGAGCCCCGGCGGGAGCCCGGCACAGCGGCTCCGCGAGGCGGCTCTGCCACATTGCGCAGGCGCACCGTGCCCCGTTCGTCTCCGCTACCGCGCAGGTGCACTGTGTCCTCCTCCTCCTCCTCCTCGGGTCGGGCCGCCTCGGCGAGTGTTTTCCCGGCCATGGCGAACGGCGGCTGCCTTCGAGACCGGGAGTCGTGCACGGGTGGCCCCCGGCCCCGCCTCTTCCATGAATCTGGGGCTAATGCGGGTGTGGCCTTGCAGGACTTTGATGTGCCTGGGATGGGGGAGGGGTAAGGGTCGGGGCCCGGACTGGAAGTCCCACCGGATCTCCCCTCCACCCCAGAATCACTGTGGCCGTGGGCAGGTCCTACTTCTGTGACCCTGCTTGAATCAACCTTTACCTCTCGGTGCCTCAGTTTCTCCTTCTGTAAAACGGGAACAATAATAGTACCTACCTCCCAGGCTTGTTGTGAGGGGTCAAAAGATAATGTTGTAAAACTCTTTACAAACCTTAGAAATGTTATTTATTTTCTTATCTGCAAAATGGAGTTGGACCTAGAATCATAGATATGGAGCAGGCAGGGACCTGGAAGAGCATCCATTCCATCCCCTGCACTCTTCAGATGAAGGAAGAAGCCCACTAGAAGAGGAATTGATGGTCTGGGGGGTCCCACCTGACTCTTGTGTTAGGGCTCCTGTCCTGGACTAACCTCACTTAGATGGATTTGGGGCCCCAGAACTCTTTCCCCCTCATCTCGGGCACACCTCTCCCCTTTACCCCCAATTCTTTCCCTGTACTCCCCCCCAAGAGGAATCTCTGGGCCTCTGGAGCCCCTCCCTCCCCCAAGGCTACCCTCATTTTCTAACCCTTCCTAGAGAGGCTGGGCCAGGTTTTCCCACCCCCAACTCCCAAAGCTCCCTGAAACTCCCCAGGGGCACCTGAGTCACCTGCTTCTGTGTCATGCCAGGTGGGTCACCTGCTAGCTGGTCAACATTAGCCGTGGAAATGAGCGCACTGGCCCAGCCCAGCCTAGGTGTTGCGGCCACTGTCGCTAGGTGATGGGGTTACAGTACATCAGCAGACCTGTAGGCTTCCTCTGTCCTTTCCTCCTTCCTCCTTGCTCCTTTCTCCTCCTCCCCTGCCATCTATCCTGTCTTGCCTGAGATCCCGCTGTCCCAGAATTGCTGAGCTGGGAGAGAGGGTAGGTCATGCCTCAGAGAAGCCTACCTGTCTAACGAGTGCCTCAACAGAAGCCCCTGATAACATCCGTCTTCTGCTTAACTCCAGGGACCAGCATCTCATCGCTCACCAGGCTTACTTTGCTACTCTGCCATCCCCTCTCACTTCCTGCCACCTTTCCCCTATCGTTGCTTTTAGTTCTGCTGGGGTTCAGAGAGAGGTAAGGCTTCCTGTCTAATGCTTTGCCAAACAGACCAGTCCAGGGCAGCCTCTCAGACCATGAAGTCTCCCCCCTGGGGAGCAGAAGCAAGCTCATAGCCTCAGGGCCACCTGTGTTCTGTGTTCTTCAGGATCCAATGTGTCTGTGGGCCCTTAAGGGGTTTCAGGCAAGCTAAAGAAGCAGAACATACCCTGAGGAGTCAGCCAACTTTCTCAGTTTACTGTTGAGGAAACCAAGGCCCCGAAAGGGAAAGGGATTTGCTTAGGGTTTATTTCCATGCATCTCCCACTCTCCAGAGTCAGTCTGGGTGTGCCCTGATTTTAGGACCAAGGACAGTCCCAGTCTCCCTCAAATGTGTTTTCCTTTCCTAACTACAGTCACCTATCTGATCTAGTCTTCAGGCAAAGGCTGGGTGACTTTGGCCTTAGACCCCTGCTTCCCCAACCTCAAGAATACAGCCTGAGACCCTGAGAACTTGAGGAACAAAGTCTTACTGTTGATTGTCCTTTGTTCTCAAAGAGGACCATGACATCAGGGAGGTGATGCCATGATATGTAAGTGAATTGGATTTAAGTGAGAGAGGCCTGTACAAAGTCACCAGCCTTACTTTCTCCTCCAGAGCCATCTGGGTCCAGTGGCTAGATATGGATCAGGATGACTGAAAATGGCCCGGGATGCAGTGGGAGACCTTGGCCTTTTCGAGCTGTCTCAGCTTGACTGAGGCAATGTTCATTCAGTGATTAAGGTTTAATAAGAAATGAGGCAGAGAATGGCCTCTATCTAATAAAAAAAAATTATCTGGGAGGGGAAAACCCTCAGAGTTCCTGGCCAAAACAGAAACAATTGTTATTTACATTCATTCTGAACTGAACAGGACCCAATGACCAAGTAAGGCTTGGCCTGCGACCTATTGTTGGCCAATCAACAGGAGCCTGAGTGAGTTAGGGTTTAGACTGATCTTTAAGAAAGAAAAAAAAAGGTTTCAAGGATAAAAATTTACATTCTCTTTGGGCAGAGCCCCCACAGTGAGAGAATTTGGGGTGGGTGGACAGAGATTGTACAAAGCAGGGAACAAGTTCCCCAGTCAGCCCAACACTTGCTAAACAACGTATGCTTTGTTACGATCTGGGAATGTTTTTTTTTTCAGGCAGTTGGGGTTAAGTGACTTGCCCAGGGTCACGCAGCTAGTACGTGTCAAGTGTTTGGTCTGAGGTCAGATCTGAACTCAGTCCCTCCTGACTTCAGGGCCGGTGCTCTATCCACTGCACCGCTTAGTTGCCCAGATTTAGGGATGCTTCACATAGAACTTACTCTCTGAAGGGGAGATGACAAGGCCATACAAAACCAGTGTAAGTCAGTGGGGGAGGGGATGGGGACAGCAGCTGGGAGGTCAGAAGGAGGATCTAAAATGAGTTGGAACCTGAGCTGAGCTTTGAGCCCAGAGAGAAGCCAGGCTTTCCAAGAGGGACAGGGGTGAGGGAATACTTTCCAAGGAAGTGGGGGTGGCCAGTGCAAATACCACACAGCAAAGACCCTGTAAAACTTTAAGGTCCACAAAGGCCTCTGTCCAACAGCCTGGACTGAGCACGACGAGGACGGAGGGCTCAGCCACCCAACTCCCAGGCCAGAGTCAGACAGAAAGCCAAGGTGGTGGGCGCACAGACTAGAAAAGGGCTCAGGCCTCCAGAAGGAACCTCAGCCCTGGCAGAAAAAGGGAGAGGAAGAGAGGGAGGGGCTGAGCGAGCAGCTTTCTCAAAGGCTCCCAATCCAGACCCACCGGAAGGCAGCCAGCCAGACGGAAATCTGCAATGAGGGCAGGAAGTATTTACCCATCGCCCTCTGTCTTCTCTGCTCTCTTTTAAGCTAGGCCAGCTAGTCTCATCTCCCCCTTTTAGAGAAGGGGAATCCAACGGACCCAGAGGAGGCTGTTTGCCCTAGACCAGGCTGGAAGTGGAGGTGGAGGCATTCAGCCCAAGTCCCTGCCTGCCCTCAGGCAACTGAGTGTTAAGTGTGAGGGTGGATTTGCACTTCTGGCTCACCTTGGGAGGGTAGAAGGGGAGGAGGCTCAAGGGAGAGCCAGCTGGGAATGGGAAGGGGTCCCAGAGGCTTCCTGGAGGAAGGGGGAAGGGAGGGTAATGGCAGCCAGTTCCATTGCAGAGAATCAGAACTGAAAGGGGACTTGGAAATTCTAGGGTAATAATGATCATTCATAATGACTGGTTGATTTTTGACTTCTGTAGAATATCACCTTTGTTGCCCTGACAACAGGCTTGACTCTGGATCCCAGAAACTGCTTAGGATGCATTTGATATGTCCTTGTCATGTCCCCTAAGGAATGTGAGTTCCTTGACCCTATTCGCTTCTGTACCCATATGCTAGGTGCTCTACCAGTGCTGCTGGAATTGAATGGACATTTCTGAAAGCTGTAACATTCATCAAAGGGCTTTGCAGAAGTGATCTCATTGGAGCCTCGCTATGAACTCCAACTGATACAGGCTCAGGGGAGCCAGTATCAGAAGCAGGCAGCGAGCCTGGGTCCTCCTCCTCCTGTGCCCCTCCAACCCTAAGGCTGGAGAGAGCCCCACGTGAACAAGGGTCTCTTCCACCAGAACCAGACATGGGCATCCAGCCTTCACTTGAAGACTTCCACTGACGGGTGACTCATTTCCTAGGCAGTCTATTCCACTAATGGACAGCTTGAATTGTATGGGAGCTTTCCCTTAAGTGATGCCTAAAGTGGTCTCTCTACAGCTTTTCCCTTCCTCTTCCTCTCTTCCCCCCTTCCTCATTTCTGGTCCTTTTCTGGGGCCAAGCAGAACAAAATTTCTCCATATAATAGTGTTTTAAATATTTGAAGTCATCTCTTCTAAGCTAAATACCTTCACTTTACAATGAGAGAAACTGAGACCCAGAGAAGTACTTCAGTTTACCCAAGGTCACACAACTAGGGAGTGAGGGACAGGACCTGAATTAGAATCTAGGTGTTAGCTGAGGTCTCTTGGAAATGGTGAATTGCTCCCTGGTCCTCTCTGAACGTCCAGGCCTGATCAGGGTCATTTGAACAGTTCTGGAAGTGGGAGATGGAGACAACTTGGGTCTGTGCCTGACCCCCTCAGGGTTCCCAAGCCCTGTAGAGGGAAGGTACAAAGCAGCAGCCAGGGTTGGGTGTATTGTGCTGCCTCCTGAAGTGCTGAGTCCCCAGTCACTGGACATTTTTGAGGAAAGGCAAATTGACCTCTTGGCATGTGGTGGAGGGAATCTTGGTACGGGAGAGGGTAAACCAGACACCTCTGATATCCTTTCCCTCTGAGGGTCCTGCACTTCTCTGGTCCTTTGGTGCCAAGAGGTGGCAAACGACACTGGTATGGGAGGCAGGCCTCAGTGGGTTCTTGTCTCCTTGCTCTGTCCTTAACTGTCTGGGTGACCCTGGCAAGCCCTTTCCTCCTGACTCCTATTGAAACCAAAAGGGCTGTGGGAAGGAGAGTCAAATCTGTTTTGGCCCTGTGGTTTGCCAGGGAAAATCCCCTCTGGGAAAGGAGGGGAGGGGGCCTTCTGTTCAGGCAGCCAGAGCTCCACTCATTTCATCACATCCTGGGGAGAGTCCAGAGGCTGAGGAGGGCTGCTGAGTGACTCACTCAGGTCAGAGGTCAAGGCCAGTGACTCAGCAGTGATCCTGAGGCACCCCTGGGCCCTAGCCTGGCTGGGAAAGGGCTAGGACAAGGCTGAGGGAGGACTGGGGCAAGGCTGGAGCAGAGTGCCCTAGTGACCCACCAGAGCTTTCCCCAGCTGACTCTTACCCCTTGCAGGGCTTTCCCTGACAGGCCTGGGGAGCAGAAGTGGAACTAGGAACAGAGAGGCATGGGGTGGGTGTAGAGTGCACAGAACTGACTGCATGGATGACTTTGGGGAAACCCAACCCCTCCTTTCTGGGCTTCTTCAGTTGTTTCATCTGTGAAATAGAGAGAGAACTTTGCTTTTTAAACCCTAAAGCCCTACAGAAATGGGAGGGCAGGTGGGGGGGGAGGGGTGATGCGGTTGGGGCCTCTGGGGTCAGCTTTTTCAATCCTCTCTTTATACTTGGGAGCATCTGTTGTTAAGTCCTTTTCAATACTGTCCAATGCTTCATGACCCCAGTTGGTTTTTTTTTATTTAATAATTTTTTTTTAGTTTTCAACATTCACTTTAATGAGATTTTGCATTCCAAATTTTCTTCCCATCTCTCCTCCCCACACCCCAAGACAGTGTACAATCTGATATAGGTTCTACATATACATTCATATTGAACCTATTTTTACATTAGTTATGTTGTAAAGAAGAATTAGAACCAATAGGAGGAACCACAAGAAAGAAGAAACAAAAAAAGAGAGCTCAAATAATGTGCCTTCAGACTCCATAGTTCTTTTTCTGGATGTGGATAGCATTCTCCATTATGAGTCCTCTGGAGTTGTCTTGGATCCTGGCATTGCTGAAAGGAGATGAGTCTGTCAAAGTCAAGTCACCGCACAATGTGGCTCTTACTGTGTACAATATTCTCCTGGTTCTGCTCACTTCACTCAGCATCAGTCCATACAAGTCTTTCCAGGTTTTTCTGAAGTCTGCCTGCTCATCATTTCTTATGGAAGAATATGAATTACATTCATGTACCACAACTTGTTCAGCCTTTCCCCAACTGATGGACATCCCCTCAATTTCTAATTCTTTGCCACTACAAAAAGAGCTGCTATAAATATTTTTGTACATGTTTTGTTTTTTCTTTCTTTTGGGATGCTGACCTAGAAGTGCTATTGCTGGGTCCAAAGGGTCTGCACATTTTTGTAACCCTTTGGGCATAGTTCCAAATTGTTCTCCAGAATGGTTGGATCAGTTCACGATTCCACCAACAATGCATTAGTGTTCCAATTTTCCCACGTCTTCTTCAACATTTATCATTTTCCTGTTTTGTCATGTTAGCCAACCTGATAGGTGTGATGTGGTACCTCAGAATTGTTTTGATTTGCATTTCTCTAATCAATAATGATTTAGAGCATTTTTTCATATGACTATAGATAGCTTTAATTTCTTCCTCTGAAAACTGCCTGTTCATATCCTTTGACTATTCATCAACTGGGGAATGACTTGTATTCTTATAAATTTGACTCAGTTCTTTATATTTTAGAAATGAAGCTTTTATCAGAGACACTGATTGTAAAACTTCTTTCCCAGTTTTCTGCTTCCCTCCTATGCATTGGTTTTGTTTGTGCAAAAACTTTTCAATTTCATGTAATCAAAATCATCCATTTTGCATTTCATAATGTTCTCTATCTCTTGTTTGGTCATACATTCTTCTGTTCTCCATAAATATGACAGGTAAACTATTCTTTGCTCTCTCATTTTGCTTATAGTATCAGTCTTTATATCTAAATCGTGTACCCATTTTGACTGTATTTTGGTACACGGCATTTGTGGTTTTCTTGGCAAAGATATTGGAGTGGTGGGCTAAGACAGGTTCTGAACCCAGGCCCTCAGACTCTCAGTCATCCCATAACTCTGCCCCTGGGGCTATTGAGGGGTGTGTATTGAGGGCCTGCCTCCTCCTTCCTCCCTCCCTCATTCCTGGGAGAGCTAAGCTTTGTGCCAGGGATGAGTCAGGAGGGAGAGAACGGCTATCACCTGAGCTCAGCCCCAAGGGTCACCCATTGATTGGAATGAGTCAACCCAAAGGGTGGGGGTGGGAGGAGATGCCAAGCACTCCCCTCACTGTGACCTCAGGGCTTCTGCCCCCGTCCCAGCCTGGGATAGGGGGCGCTACGGGGGCCCAGGGGCCTGAGCTGCTGCCCCTGCCTGACCAGGCCAGGGTCCCAGGGGACCTGTTCGAGGCTGCTGAGCCCGGCCCTCCTGAGGTCCTGGGCAGCGGAACCGGGCCTGGCTGCACATGGGTCAGGCTGCTCTATCGGGGCTCGAGAAGCTCAGCCCGGTGGTGGCTGCGGCGCTGCCCAGGGGAGGAGGGCGCGTGGAGGGAGGTTCCCGGGGCGCTGCGCACAGCGCCCGGGAGGGGCTGGCCCGGACCTCAGTGACCGGAAGTGACGCCAACACGGGGATTCCATGCCTAAGGGCTGGGAGCTCTTGGGGGGGGCCCGGCCGGGGCTGTCTGGGGCCGGGACCCCCCGCGCCAACTGCGGCGGCAACAGCATTTGTTGTATCCAGCCCGCGTCCGCTGCCGTTCCCGCCAGGAAGACTCCAGGTCTCGGGCCCGGTGTGATCTTCTTGTTAAGGCTTGGGCTTGGGTTTGGGCGCGGGCTTGGCCGCCGCGCCCTTAACCTCGTCCCTCCCAGCCTGGATCATGGGACCCCCCGGAGGGCCGCCAGGCGGAGCTCCGGCCCAGGTTCCGCCCCACTCGGTGCAAGGAGACCCAGCCACCTTCAGGGCTGCCCTGCGGGGTCTGCTCAACTGTGCGCGCTTCAGGTGAGCCCTGCGACGTGGGCGGGAGCGGTCAGTGCCAGGTGTAACCCTGGAGAAGCTTGGGCACAGGCTGAGCGTACGCCTGAGTATGCTGGTGTGAGCGCAAGCTAGCAAAGCCGGTGCTCAGGAACGAGGGGCCACGGGCTGGGCCCAGGGTGCCCGGGGGCGAGTGGTCTACAAGGCATGTGAGTGTCACACTTACTGTGTGAGACAGTGCTTGTGTGACAGGGTGTGTGAGTGCATGTGTGCACCACACCTGTGCCCGAGGGAACCGGACCCTGCGTGTGCCAGGGGAACGCCCTCTCTCAGCTCTGCCAGGGATTTCCCTGAGCCTCCAACTTGCCCTTGACTAAGACTACCCACCACCCCCAAAGCATCCCTGACAAGGGGTCATGCAACTTGTGCTTGAAGATTCCCTTCAATGGGGAGGCCACTGCCTTCTGTAGCAACCACTTCTACTTCTGGACAGCTCTCAGCGCTGGGAAGCTTCCCCTGCAATTCAGTCTCTGTAGTCTCCCCCACTCCCACCCCCACCGTCCCCCATAGCTCTTGGCTCTGCCCTCTGGAGCCTCACCCAAGAAGGCCCATTTTTCTGACCTCTGGCACAGTCCCAAGGATACTTGAAGATACCTCTCTGCTAGACTGAGTTTCCCCCCAAACGTGGCTAGCTCCTTCCCTCAGTCCTCCTCCTGCCCATTTTAGTCACTTTCCCCAGATGCTGTCCAGCTTATTAATGCCCTCCAACAACCGAATGACCCAGAGCCAAAGTCTCCCAGGAGTGGCTGGCCCTGGGCCTAGACAAGGAGAACTCTCCCCTCTTTATTCCTGGAAACTTGGCCTCTCTTAAGGCAGCCCAAGCTCCAACTCCTACTGTCTTATTGAATCTGGAAGGATCCTTGGAAATCAGCAAGTTGAACTTTCCCATTTTACAAAGCAAGAAACTGAGGCCAGAGTGAGAAATGGACTTGCTTGAGGTAACAGGTGGGATGAGATGGGGGGGTGAACATACTTGCAAGGTGGGGCCCCTGACTTCAAAGCTCCCCCACCTCCATCACTCCTCAGCCTAGAGGGTAGCTTCATGGGACCCTTCTATACTCCAAACATCACCCTCCCTTCCCCTCAGGCAATCCCAACTGGCCTTCTCAAACTCAGATGGGACTCTGACCACTAGTAGTGGGCAGCAGTGCCAGCTTGGGGGCTTCCACAGATGGCATAAGAGAAAGAGCATAAGTTTTAGAGCCAGAGACCCGGGTTCGAATCCTAGCTCTGCCATTTGTTCTGCATAGGGCCCTTGCTTGTCTCAGTCTAGGTTTCTATAAGTTCTCCAGTCCAGGCAGAGGTGTGGGCACACTGGGCATGGGGCACAGTGAGGCTGGTGGACAGCAGTCAGCCTCAGCAGGGAGAAGAGGTCAGTGGGCATCTGACACCAGTAGGGACAGGTCCGGAGTGGAAAGGAGCTGTCCAGCTCTCATGACTTGCCTAGGGATCAAAGTAAACCTAAGGGTGTCATATGTACAAGGCTATTCTGAGCTCTTCTTCCTGGCACTTCTACCCTGTTGGTGCCCTGGGAGTCTCCTGCTCAGCCCTACACTTCCTAGAGAAGTTAGGCTTGCCAAAGCACTTGACCATAGCACTGCTAGGGAAACCATTATGCTCCCCATTTTATAGAGGAGAAAACTGAGATTCAGAGAAAGGGCTTTACACATTAAGTAGCAGACCTGAGTCCAGCCCAGGTCTTCAGACTCCAGACAGCAAGGAGGATCCTTAGATATCACCCAGGTCAGCATTTCATTTTACAGATAGGAAAACTGAACACCAGAGAGGGAATGAGAGCCACACAAACAGTTAAGAGCTGGGGTCCAGGGCTCTCTCCACAGCCTTCTATCAAGAGCACCTTTTTTTTTTTTTGAGAATGTATTGTGTGCTGCCTAAAGAAGTAGTGAGCTTCCCTTCCTGGAGATATTCTAGCAGAATCTGGATGACTACTTGCTGGGCATTTCTTTCAGATACATCTTGGATAAGTGCCTCTGAGGGCTTTTCTGACTCTGGTTCAATGATTCTGATTCTGCAGGGGTTAGGCACAATGGCCATGTCCCCACCCTTGGCAGAGGCACCTATGTTTGAGTCCAAGCAAGCCCAGTGCTGAGTGACAAGTCATTGGGACAGTCTGTTGTCCTGGTGGGAGGGAGAGAGGAGGGAAAGAGGAAGGATAAAGCCACCAAGAGCTGGGGGAGGGGGCAAAGAAAGATTCTCAGAGGAGGGGGCCCCCAACTGGGCCTCAGAGGAGGGGGATAACCATGGAAGGAAAGACAGAAGCATCCAGGCAGTACTTGGGCGGGGGGACCTGTTTGCTTGGGACAAAGGGATCCTCTTGGGGAGGGTCTTAAATGCCAAGCTAAAGAGGTTGGAGAGTGAGGAATGACATCATGAAGCTAGTGCTGAAGAAAGACTAGTGTGGAGGAAGGATTGGATAAAGGGCTGGAGGCTGGAGGCAAGTGACTCAGGTTTCAGTCTTGGTGACTCAGAGGATGAGGAGGTTTGTGGGAGGAAGAGAATGAGTTGGGGGCTGGATGGAGATGAGGGTGCCCTGCTGAGCTGGGGGACCACTGCTGAGAGGTGAGGTGCCCCAGAGGCTGTGAGCGTGAGCCGGGCAGATGACAAAGGTTGGGGGTGGGGCTAGGCACCCCCATCCCTCGTTATTTCAGTTCTCACTTCAGCTGTTCTTCCCAAAAGAGGGGGACTGTGCTTGTCCCCCCTCTGGCTCTCTGCTGTTCCTTGCTGTTCACTAACGCTCCCTCCCTAGTTCAGCCTGGGTTCCAAAGCTTCCAAACTCCATGATCTTCCAGTTTCCCTGTGGGATGGGGGGGTGCCTGTCTGGGTCTACTCAGAGAAGGCCCTGTTTGGTCCTTGTCTCTGACTGGCTCTGGACATGGCTGGGTCTACCTGCAGAAGCTTAACCTTTCCTCCTCTACCCAGCTTTGCAACCTAACCAGGGCACCCAATGGCACACACATTTTTGAGGCAGAGACCCTGTGTGTGGTGGTCTAGTTGGAGCCTTGGATGGTAAGGGACATTTTCCTACTTTGGTCAATGAGGTCCCTGCCCACACTTCTCTCAGGAGAAGCAGTATGGTACCAGGTGATGTCTAGGGGTGCTCAGCCCCCAGGAAACTTCCTGACTGGCTAATGGGGATTGGAGGGTTGGGTCACTGACTGTGGGGGGAGTGCTCTAGAATAGGCAGCCTAATGAGATGGCCCAGGACCAGAGAGGACAAGGGGTGACTGGCTCTTCTGGGCCATCAAAGACTGATCTTCCATCTGTGCTGGGAAGAGGCCTAAGAAAAGGAGGAGAGCTGTGTCCTGCCCTCAAGCAGCACATAGTCTAATTTGGCTTCATGCCTGGAGGCAGGAAGCCTGCTTTGCTAGCCTCTGAACCTGGCCAAATCGCCTAGCTCTCTGCGTCTCTGTTTCTCTGCTTGTTCTCTGAGGGGCTTCAGCTAGATTACCCTCTTCCAGCTTTAACACCCTGGGACTTATTGTCATATTCTGTATGCCTCCCATGTGCCCAGCTCTGTACTTGGCACCAGTGGAGTTATTCTCAGTTCTGAGAACCAATGTCATCAATACCGGATTGGAGAGGCCAAGGATCTGGAGGTTTTAAGGGACCCCAGGCTCAATATACATCAAAGTATGGCATGGTGGATGAGAAGGCTAATGAGCAGAGCTTCCAGAAACAGGGAGGCCATGGTTCCCCTGAGCTCTGCTTGGGGCACATCTCCTCTGCAGTGCTGTGGTCAGTACTAGGCATTCCAGAATAGGAAGGATGTGATCGAGGGGCAGTGTGTCCAGAGGAAGGGCCTGGAGTCCTGTGAAGAGAACCTGTTGGAGGAACTGAACATTGTTAGGCTGTAGAAGGGAAGATCAAGTCATGTGGGAGACATCCTCATGTAGTAGAAGGGTCAGACCTGTTCTGTTTGGGCCCTAATGGCAGAATTGGGAGCAATGTGGGAGGGAGGATTTGTCAAGAGGCAAACTTAGGGTCCATTTATGGAAGAACTTCCTCACCTTTCGAGCTATCCCAGAGTGGAAGGGCTGCCGGTAGAGGAAGTGAGCTCCCTGTCAGTGGAGGTCTGCAAGTACAGGCTGGGTGCCCCCTTCCACGGAGGCTGCAGCTATAGAGTCTCTTGGTCAGTTATAGGTTGGATTACATGATCTCTGAGCCTTCCTCTGTGATCCTGTCCTCCAAGGCTTTAGATGCTATGACCCCATGGGTGCTTCAGACTCTGAAGGCAAGAGGCCAGGGAGGGCGGTGATTAGTGTGGGCTGGGCTGTCAGGAGACCAGTATCAGGAGGCAGGGCAGGGCTGGATCAGCAGGTTGCTTCTCCCACTTTCCCTATGGTGCTTGCCCCTGGCCGTCTCCCAGGTCTTGATTGGTTTTCCTGGCTGGGGTCCAATTGGGTAGTGCCTCGAGCAAGCTATTGGCATAATGTCCTTGCCCTGCACAGCCCAATCCAGGGAAGTGCCAGGTTGGGAGTGGGATGGGGAGGGGAGATCCCTGGGTGGGAGGGAGGTCAGCTTGGCTCTCTCTTGGGCTGGCCTCTGCTTTTCCACTCCAAGCAGAACAGGAGTGCTACACTGAACTTAGCCCCAGGGTGATGGACACCAGCAGGTATGTCCCTGGTCCCATCCTGTTACTGCCATTGAAAGAGGATGAAGGAGTTCCCAGCATCCCTGCTGAGGGGGAAGGACCCACTGGGACAGACAACTTCTGTTCTACTCTTGTCTGGTCCATCCCGGGCCCCCTCTCCTCTCCCCTCCAGTGGTAGCAAGAATGATGCAGGATTTGGGATCGAGGGTCTTGGGTTTCAATCTTGGCTTTGCACTTACTAGCTATATGATTTTTGGTCTCTCCCTGAGACTCAGTTTCTTCTTCTGTAAAATGAGGGTCTTAGACAAGACAGCCCCTTCCAGCCCTAGAGCTAGGACTGCCCTCCCTCCTTTCTAGCCTCTCCTCCCTCAACCCTGCCTGGGGTCCAGAGAGGCTGCCTGAGGGTAAGGGGGAGGTTTTGGATTAGAGACCCTGGTGACTTTGTGACGACTTCAAGGTCCCTGGCAGTGCTCTGGGCTGGGCCTATGAAGGTCAGATTCAGTGACTTTCCCCTCTTTTCTCCTGCCCCACACAGATGGGGCCTGTCAGTGCTCTCCCCCCTCCCTTGGAGGGTTGGCAGCTGGGCTCCTCCTTGGCCTGCTCTAGGTCTCCTGCCAGGATCCCAGCCATGGAGACTCTGCTGGACAGGGTAGCCTGGGAGCTTCAAAAGGCTGCTTGTAGCTGACAGAGACCTTGGAACCACCAGACCCAGGCTAGGGAATCCAGGGGCTGGAAGATGCCTGGGAAAAGCAGTGGAGTAAGGTGCCTTGGAGGCGGGGTGCACTGGGCAGGCCGGCCAGCACCCCCTGCTGTTGTCCTCCTTCTCAGACCCTGAGCTCGGGTACCTCCTCTAGGCAGGGCAGAGGGGGCTGAAACCTAGGCCAGAAGAACAAACAAGTCTTTCTAGCCTTATGGATGATTTGTCTGGGTTTTGTGCAGGGCCAGAAGCTGGGAAAAGGGGGTGCCTCAAATACCCTGAGGAGGCAGGTTAACCATTAATGAGAGGTTCAGTGTCAATGTCAGCTTGGCAGGAGTGCCCCAGGGATCTGTGCTGATCTGTGAGCTGTTTAACATTTTTTGACTTTTTTTTTTTAAGGCAATCAGAGTTAAGTGACTTGCCCAGGGTCACACAGCTAGAAAGTGTCTGAGGCTGGATTTGAACTCGGGTCCTTTTGACTCCAGGGCTGGTGCTTTATGCACCTCACCACCTAGCTGCCTCAGTTTAACATTTTAATCAATGGCTCAGATACTGGTAGAGATCAAACATTTATCATATCTTTAGGTAACATACAGAACTGGCGCATTGGATGACATAGGACCCAAAACAATCTTGACGGGCAAGATTGAGCCAGATCTAATAGGATAACTTCATTACAAACGGAAAGCCTGAAACTTGGTCTCAAAAATCAATTTTCCATATGGAGGGTGGAGGAGAGTGGTTAGACAGCTCTTGTTCTGAAAAAGATCTGGGGTCTGAGTGGACCCCTAGCTCAATATGAGACATCAGGGTGATGGGGGCAGCCAAGAAAAGGAATTTAACAATTCAAATGGCCTGCATAGGAACATGGAATCTCCTGCCCGGAGTGACTCTGCCTTGGTCAGTCAGTCAGTCAGTCAATTAGCAGGTCAGCCTCATCTGCATCACCGGGTGATGTCACACAGGGGCGCACGGTCGCTGTCCTCAAGCTTCCCCAAGCTGCATGTGGAAGAGGGCTCAGCCTTCCTAGAAGGCAGGAATAGGACCCTTGGAGGAGAAGCTACAGAGACTGGTTGAGGCTGGACTTGCCATGGGAGCTGTCCCAGGGCGGAAGGTTCAGTCTCAGGCAGTGGTCGGAACCAGGTGAGGCCGGATGCCCGCCCTTTCTATGGCTCTGGATTGGACCAGATGCCTTCCTCCAATTCTGAGTCAGTCTGGGTTCTTGAGGGTGACCCTGGGTTCTTGAAGGTGGTATGGTAGCACATGTAAGGAGTGGCCCGAGGAACATGCTAGGCAGCTGAAGCCTGAGAGAGCTGCCCCCCAGCTCACTGGGCCTCCCAGGGGACTCCCTGGAGCTGGGAGGATGGAGGCACCTTCCCCTCCCCCCCCAGCAGGGGCTACAGCTGCATCAGCACCACCCCCGCTGGCTCTGGTGTGGAACCCCAGGCTTTCCGATTTCTCTTTAACTCTTAACCCTTTCAAAGAGCATGTTAGGAAAGTGGGCGCAGCCCAGCCAGGTCTCCAGTGGAAACCTGTGGGTGGCAAATTTTACCAACCCCTCAGCATTTCCTTCCCTCCTCCTCTGACCCCAGCCCCCAGCAGCCACGGGCTTCAGTAGCAGGAGTGGCCAATCCCCCACCCAGGCCCTGACCCCCAAAGACCCCGTCCTGGTCCTGAAGTCCAAGATGAGTCCCTCATTCACAACTGATTGATCTGAGGGGCAGACGGCAAGGCATTTGTCCACAGTTACTCAGCCCCGATTTCCAAGACCCAAGCTCCACTCCTGATGCTGGTGGCTGGGCCCCATCTGGGGGAGAGTGAAGTGAAGAGAGCCTGGTGGATTCCTGGAGGACCTCGGGTCCTCAGGCCTAACTACCCCACCTCTGCCCCCACCCACACCCTAAACATAACCTCAGACAAGATTCAACATCTGGCTAGGAGGGGGTGGAAGGGCCTCCTTGCGGTGGCGGTGATGGAACCCAGTGAGGAAACGCTGAGTTAGCAGCCCCAGAAAAGCTGTGGGCTTGTCTTCAAGGTCCCAGGATGCAGGGCCCCAGTGTGCACCTCTCTGCATCCTGCCTTTCAAAGGTGCCTGAGGATAGGCATGAGTCACACAGCTGGGGAGGCTGGAAAGCTCTTTCCATCCCTAGAGAAGGCCAGCTCAGGCTGGGGGAGGCTGGCTGTTCTCTGCCCCCTGCAGACCACTGACTGTTACTGTCCCATGGCTGCCTAGCATTGCCGAGCATCCTATTCTGATTCCTATCTGAGAGCAGGCCCAGTTCCCCAGGGTGGTTCAGCCACACCTGAGGGGCTGAGGCCTGGATGACCGGGGTGGGGCGGGGGCCCCCAACATTTATCTCTCCCAGTGATGTGCGGTTCTTGGTGGGCCAAGACCGGAGGGAAGTGTGGGCCCACCGCTGCCTCCTGAGCTCCCGGTGCGACTACTTCCGTCAGCTCCTGAGTGCTGAGAACCCTGGGGGGGGTGCCCCAGAGGAGCCCGTAGTCCTGGCTGACGTACCTCCTGAGGCCTTCTTAACGGTGCTGGAGTTCCTCTACACCAACAGTATCACCTTGGACAGGCGCACAGTAGGTGGAGGGGGCTGGCAGGGGTGGGAGTCACATCTTGGGCCATCCATTCTGGACCCTGCCTCTCTCTGACCTCGGCCCCACCCCTCCTCATCTACAGGTCCTGGAAGTGCTGATTTCATCGTTGGAATATGGGCTGTCTGAGCTTCGAGAGGTAGGGGGGATGGGAAGGCAGGCTGGCAATGCCAGGTAAGGGCCCCCTAGGGCAACCTCCAAGCCTTGGATAGATGAGCCGCTTCCTGGCCAGGCTGGGCAGGGAGAGGGCAAGGGTCTGATGTGGGTACTGGGCCTGAAGAAGTTGAGATGGACCCAGAGGGGCAGGAAGGTACATTGTGGGGAGTGATAAGTCTGGAGGTAGAAGACAGGGGTTTGAATCTTGACCCACTCCCCACTCCCCTTGTGATGCCAAATAGGTCATCTCTTCTAGCCTCAGTTTTCCCCTCTGTAAAATGAGAGGCCTTTTGAACTCATTCTCCCTAGTTCTGTTTGTCTGGCTTCAAGCTTGCTGCCCCATCAGCTGCCTTGGAATCTTCAAGAAGGGAGAGGTTGGAGCTTTGGGTGGGGGGTTTAAGGAGACAAGGGTGCAGGGCAGGCTGGGAGCTTGGACCTAAGTTGGAAGGGGTATGACAGTGAGGGGTTAGGAATGCCTCCAAACCCAGCCCTCACCATGTGTGGAGGTCCAGGCAGGCAGGACCGAGAGGCCTATTCAGGAATTCCTGGGAATGTGCCCAGTCCTGCCTGGCTCCATAGTCAATTATGGGCTGGCACCTAGTAAGATGGGGCTGCCCCTCCCCATCCCAGGGTGATAGGGCAGAGGATAGGTTTGCCCTAGTATACACCGACCCTCCCCCACCACCCCTGCCCTGTTGAGCCTGCTAGTGGCCATATTCTCCTGGGGCTCAGTCCCTGTTCCTGCTGCCTCCTTTCCCTTTCTCATAGCCCCTGATGCCCCCAGGAAGGGCACAACAACAGGCTTCAGCCCCCCAGAAGTTAGGTGTGTTAAGTTGGTGCAATGGGCATGTTTATGTGGATGGGGGTGTGAGTATGTATGGACATAGAATGGGGCTGATGGCAGCTGGCCTGAAGCTGCCCAACCTTAGAGCCCAGCCTTTGCAGCCTCATCTCCTATCTACTCCTGCACAGAAGACCCCCCACATCAGTCTGAGGCCCTCAGCAGAATGGCTAGAACTGATGGACCCCCTGTGCAATGATCAGAGATTACCATGAGTTCAGGAAGCCTGTTAAATGCAGCAGTAGCAGCAGCAGCTAAAGCCACGGGAAAGCCCTGAAGAGCTACTGTCACTGGTCCTTTGGGGCCCCCAGAAGTCCTGGTCAATGTACTGTCTCTGAACAATTCCCACCTCCACACCTTTGCACCCTCTTACCTCCTGGCCTAGCCCATCTAAATAATTTTTCTTCAGTCTGAAGGGGATTCTGAGGCCTCAGGACTCAAGAGCCCCAGTTTTCAGGGACATTTCCTATGGCAGACCCTGCTCATTCCACCCTCACCCCACATACATACTTCCTATGCAGTTTAGGCCCTATATAGTCCCCCTTGGTGATCCAGGGAAGAGCCAACCTCATCAGGCCTGGCCAGCTCCCCAGTCTTCAGCCCCTCCCCTGGAGCCCCTGCTTACCCCATGGAGGTGTTTTTACCTCTTTCCAGGGATGGACAGAGAATATTCCCTATACAGCTGGGGCCTGAGTAACATGGTGTTGAAGAGTGAGGATCACAGATTTAAGGCAGGAAAGGACCTTGTTTTTAAATGAGGGAAACAGCTCAGACAGGGCAGGGGTTTGACCAAGGTAACATAACGAGCAGGATTTGAACCTAGGTGTGATATCTTCATGTCATTTGTTGGGGGCCAGCCTGGGACAGGTCTGCAGTCCCCCCAGAAGGTCACCAACACCCAGACCTCTCTGTCACTGCCTGAATGTGTGGGCCGCCTCTTTCCGGGGACATACCATGGTGTTGGAGGGAGCTGGGGGGGCTACAGAGGGTTTGTCTTCTTCCCCTCTCCCCAAACCCCTGCCTCTGTTTCTACCCCAGCTGTGTGTAGAATTTGTGGTGCAGAACTTGGACATGGAGCTGGTCTGTGAGGCCCTACAGGTGAGTCCAGAGCCCCAGTCTCCCCCATCCACACATGCACCCCCACACCTAGTCCCAGCCACATGAGGAAGAGAAAGCAAGGGCCCAGCAGGCCTCATGATTATGATCACAGAGTCCAGTCTGGTTGAGTGCAGGTAGGTGTGGAAGGGACCCCCGATGCCTGCGAAGGGGCCTCAGAATGATGGGTTTCTGTGAGCCCTGGGCAGGTCCTCATTGGACTGGCCTTAGGTCTCTGCACCTGCAGCAATTTCTCATCCTTCAAAGCCCAGCTCCAGAGCTCTGATCCTCCTTGACTATAGGCAGGCAGCCTCCTTTTTTTTTTTTTCTGTCTCCCAGACTGAGAGCCCCCTGAGACCAGAGCCCGATTCCTGTTCCTGTTCCCCTTAGATTGGGAGCCCCCTGAGGGCAGGGTCTAAGGCTTCTCCTTCTCGGTGCCTCCGGACTAGGAGCCTCCTAAGGGCAGGAGACAGCTTGTCATGACTCTTTCTCTCATAAGAGAGGTGTGGGGGAGGAGGTGGAGGGGGGGGTGTAAGTGTGTCAAATAATCATGAAGGTGCCTATGAGGCTGGACCCTGCCTACCTGGCTTTTGTGAGGATGGGAAATGCCTGTTAGGGCCCTGGGGACTGGCCCCTGCCCTGGCCACTTGTTAAGCCAAGCACAACCCTAGGGATTGCTCACTCAGCTGGGCACCCCCGGAAGTCCCAGAGAAGGGTCAGGTGCTCAGGCCCCAGGGCTAAGAATAGCTGTAACCCTCCTGACCTTCACCTTTCACTATTTCCTGTTGTGATGAACAGGTGGCTGTGGGCTGTGACTGAAGCTGTATGAATCGAGCCCCTCAGCCTGCTGCCCCTCCCCCCATTTCCTCATTTGTAAATGTTCAGCATTGGCCTTGCCTCCCCATCCCTCTCTGAGACCTGTAGAGGGGCCAAGGGGTGAGGACACCTCAGTCTGTCCTTGGCCCATCTGTGTCATGGGTATGATCAGGATCCCTACCTTCTCCCCTCTCCCTTCCCCCCCCACCCCTGTTGTTCAGAAAACACGAGGTAAACCAGAAAGCCTGTTAGCCACAGCTGGGGTGGTTATGAATAATTCCTGGCCCCGATATGAAGCTGTCTCAGCGTCAGCAGCTGCTGGTGCTGATGCTGCTTTGACGCTCCTCCCTTCCGCGTCTCCACCCTCCACCTGGCTGGCAAACTGTGTCTGCCAGAGGTCTGTTCTCAGCTCTCCCATGAACCTTTAGGTTTGCCTTGAACCAGGACCATCGATGCAGCCATCTGCAAGCTTCTAGAAAGACTCTCTCCTGCTCTAAAGCTATGTTCCCGTGATCCATTCTGTTAGGCCAGACTTCCACTCCCTCCCATTTCACAGGAAAGGAACAAGCATTCATTAAGTGTGCCAGGAGCCGTTTTAGAAATATTTCATTTGAGGGGTGGTGTGGTGGCACAGTGGATAGAACTCCAGCCCTGAAGTCAGGAGGACCTCAGTTCAAATTCAGCCTCAGACCAAACATTGACAAGTACTACCTGTGTGACCCTGGGCAAGTCACTTAACCCCAATTGCCTAAAAATAAAATAAAATTAAAATTAAAAAAAGAAAGATATATTTGATTTGACCCATACCACCTGGGAAGGAGGTGCTGCTATTACCCTCATTTTAGAGGGGAGGAAACTGAGGTAGGAGTTCAGTGACTTGCCCATGGCTGGTAGTGTCTGACACCACATTTGAACTCAGATCCTCCTGAGAGAGGCTAGACAGGAAGCCTGCTCTCCCATCTGGGGCAGCCCGGGCTTGAGCCTCATCTGCCTGTGTCCTGGACAGGTGGCAGTGACCTTTGGGTTGCGGCAGTTGCGGGAGAAGTGCCTGAATTTCATCGAGCGGCATGCCCAGGTACCGCCAAAGACGCCTAGCCCCAGGGGGAGTAGGGAAGGGGAGGGCGGCAGGGAGGGGACCGCCCTGAGCCCGAGCTGCCTTGGCAGGACGTGCTGAGGACCCCAGCCTTCCACGAGCTCTCGCCGGCCGCCTTGTTAGCAGTGCTGCACAGTGACCACTTGGCAGTGGACGAGGTCGAGCTTGTGGCTGCCACCCGCCACTGGGCGAGGGTCAGCTCGGTGAGCCCCGGGCCTGGGCCAGTGCGCCAGGGACCCCTCTTGGGCGAGTTGCCCGCCCTCTCTAGGCTGCCTCAGGCTTCCCGACGGGAGTGGACTAGCTGATCTCTGAGAAAGCATCCCGGAGAAGACCGGGGCAGGATTCGGGGGAGGCGGACCCCCAGGGCAGAGCAGGGTAGGGCCTGGTCCTGGGCAGGGCTGGAACGACCCGAGATGCAAGGCCGGGGCGGGGGCAGGGATGGAATGACCCGAGATGCGAGGCCGGGGCGGGGGCGGGGCTCTCTTTCAGGCGGTGCTGGAGCAGCCTATGGGCCAGGTGGCACAGGCCGTAGTGGGAGAGCTGCGGCTGCCTCTACTGTCCCCCTCCGAGCTGAGCTCGCTGGAGGAGCAAAACCGGGTCGAGCCTTTCATACCGGTAGGGGACGACTCCCTGCGGCCGCAGGGGAGCCACTCGCTGGCCGCTAGACTCAGCCTCTCCACCCAGAAAACCCCTACTGTGTGCCCCTCGCCCTGGTCTTTACGGTGCACCTCCCAGGCTTCCTTTACTGTGCGTTTTCCACAGGATGCCCCTGCCATGCGACCCCCCGCCTTCTACAAGGACTCCACAGTCCTTATTGTGCACCTCCCAGAGACCCCTTACTGTGTGCCCCCCCAGGAGTGTTCCCCCCAAGGAGTCCCTACTGTGCACTCTCCCCAGGGAGCCCCACCCCCAACCTCCTGTGCGTCCCTGAAACCCCTTCCCTCGGGAGAGTTTCTACAATTACAGTCCACGCTCCCCACCCCCCAGGTGGAGCAAATTGCCGAGGCCTGGAAGTACCACGCCTTGGGCCGAGGAGAAACGACCCGGGGCATCCAGGGCCGCCGACGAAAGGGGACCGCACCCCGAGCGCACCACCACTTCCTGGAGCAGCTGCCCAAGTGACCGAGTTAGACTGGGTCGCCCCCCAGGTCTCTGGAGACTCCCCCGCCTTTCTCTGAACTACAGCTGCCGGTATCCTCCGTGCTGTACCACCCCCCTCCCCGTTTTGAACACCTAGGCCCAGGATTACGGCTTTCCAGCACCTTCTTCAGGGTCTTTGACCCGGACTGGCGCTGGGCCGTAATAAAGACCTCAGCATGCGGCTGCGGCTACTATCGCAGCCAAGCCCTCTCCCCGATCTCTCAGCGCCAGGTCCTTTATTTACTGCCTGCACCCATTCTCAGGATTTTTAATCTCTCCCCCTCCCCCCAGATACAGATGACTTGCCCAAGGTCACACAGCTAGTGGGTGGCAAAGACAGGATTCGGAATCCTGGTGTGTCGACCTCTAGCCCAGAGCTGTCCCCTTGTCTCGCTACATTCTTTCTAGCTTGTCAAAGCCCATGAACTCAATCACCATTTCTACTCACATTACTCCCAGATCTATACACGCATTCCTCACCTCTCTCCTCAGTCCCAGTCCCGAATTATCTTGTCGACACATCTCCATCTGGATGTCCCCTAGACATCTCAAGTTCAACATGACCCAAACTGAACTCGTTATCTCCCCTTCCCCAACCCCCTCCCTTACTGGCAAGGGGCATCATCTTCCTGTCACCTAGACTTAGGAGTTCCGTTGTAATCTTTGACTCCTCTCTCCCTCCCTCACCATAACCAACCCATCAAGTCTGGCAGTGCCTATATTCACATTTCCGGAACCTGCCCTCTCTTTTCTTAAGCATGTTTTATTATCAGCTCAGTATCGTCTAGAAACCAAAAATAAAGTTAAGGCAGTGATCAAACCATAAAATCCAGACGGTGTCACTGGACGGGGACCCGTCTATTCTGATGAGAATAGAGTGGGATGTACCAAAATGCCCACAGCAAAGCCCCGCCTCCGGGGCCCAGGGCCTCCCCCCAGCTCCCTCCGGTCTGCGCTGTCAGATTCCGGCTTTTTCGTCTACTGGGTTCTCCTCTTGGCCTAATTGCATGTTGAGTCTTCTTCCTCCTATGACCTTTCATGTATCGGTCTTACGTGTTTGTCATTTTGTCTGGCACAATAATATTCCCTGACGCTCACAGGCCTCTCGATTCAGACATTCCGCAGCTGGGCACGTGGGTGGTTTCCATTTTTCCATTATTACGAATAAAGCTGCTAGGAATATTTTTGTGTATTGTGTATAGCTTTTAACAACCACCCGTAGGCTTTCATCCCAGAAGCGGATCAGAGGGTCCGATGAGTTCTGTGGCTGTAGTTACAGATCACCAGACTGTTCTTCTGTAAGCGGCACTAACTTCAGCTCTACCAACAAAATAGGAGCAAACCCATCCGACCTGTCCTGATTGATCTGTCTCTGGCCTCTCCCTTTCTCAGCCAGCTTCAGAAACTCACTTCATAAAGCACACACAGGCAGCTAGATGGCGCTGTGGATAGACGGCCGGGCCTGGAGCATGGAAGACTTGGTCTTCATGAAGTTTAAATCTGACTTCAGACACTTAACTAGCTGTGCTTTACTTTGGACAAATACATTAGTTCTGTTTGTCTCAGTTTCTTCATCTGTCAAATTAGCTGGACAACGAAAGGGAAAACCACTACAATACGTCGCCCGAAAAGGAAAAAAAAAGAACCATACCCTCGCCACATCTTGGGAACCAGACTGAAAAAGGACAAAAAAATACATAAGATCAGAGAATACCCCAACACCTCCTTAACTACGCACTTACAAACTTGCTATCCAAAACCTGCACCCCAACCACCTAAATTTCACCAAAACACTTCAACAAAGCACCCCCATTACCGCACTCAAAGATTACTTAAGAGCTTTTGCGCGATTAAATCATAACACTACCTTCTACGCCACCTAATGGCGAAGCGGGAAGTGCTAAGAAAATCGCAATTTACAACTACTTTTAAGACTTTTAGAATATGAGCCTCGCAAAACACGAGGCCTCAAAAAATTAATAAAAAACTCTTAACTGTTCCTCTCCACGGAAATCTTTAGTAAAAGGCGAAAGATTTATGCGATCTGAAGAGAAACCAGAGTATACCTCAGACTTTGGTCTCTGCCCAAACCCTTCGGTGGTCATATCGAATAAGGTCATGGTGACCATTCTCCCTCAGGGGGACAGCAACCCCTTCATTCTGCTTCGGGACCCCACGCGGAACAGTTCGGCCCAGGACAGACCCTGGCCCCTGGACGCCCGAGAAGCCACTTGCAGGCGGCCGGATAAGGCGAGCCTAGACGCACTGCATTGTGGGTATGCAGATGAGCTCGGTCGCTGCTTCAGTTTCCCCGCATTGTCAGTCTTCCTCCGTATGACACTCACCTCTCTTAAGGCTCTCCTCACCCTCTCCCTGGCACCACAGTCTATTGCTTGTGAGGCCCAGCTTAGTAAGGAAGGGTAACAGGCCCAGAGAAGGCAAGGAGGCTGCCCAAGGTCACAAAGCTGATGGGTGACCGAGGCAGGTAGCGTCTTTCCTCTCAGATGGACTCTCGACAGCCCCAGACTGCTTCCTCTCCCCCAAGCGATCCCACCCAACGACCCTCCTCACTTTAGCCTCCCTCCTCATCTCTGCTCTGGGTGCTTCAGTTTAGATTCCCGAGGCTCGAGACCAAATGCATCCATCCTGGGCCTCCTCTGTTTGAGCCTTCTCCCAGCATCTCCCAGCACAGTCGGTGGGCACTGACCAGCAAGAAGCCAGGTGGCCCACTGGGTACAGTCGGGAAGATCTGAATTCAAATTCAAACTCAAACACTTTCTAGCTGTGTGACCCTGGACAAGTTACTTAACCTTTGTCTCCCTCAGTTTCCTCAACTGTAAAATGGGGATAATAATAGTACTACCTCCCAGGGTTGCACAGTGCCTGGCATATGGTAATCGATTATAAATGTTAATTACTGATTTTCCTCCATTTGCCAGCCAGACCTTCGGAGTCCTCTCAGTTCACATGGCTGGGAGGGGGAGGGGGGAGACGAGAGATAAAAAGAGGAAGGAGAGGAGGAGAAGGAAGAGGAGTCCTCATGGCCAGACAAATCTTCATGCATGCATGGAGGGGCAGCAAAGCTGTTGTTTGTCCTTCGTTCTTGAAAGAGGCCCATGACCTCAGGGAGGTGATGCCATGACTTGCGAGTGAATTGGATTTAAGTGAGGGCGGCCTGTGCAAAGTCACCAGCCTCACTCTCTCCTCTGGAGCCATCTGGGTCCAGTGGCCAGATATAGATCAGGATGACTGAACATGGCCCGATGCAGTGAGGGATCTTGGCCTTTTCAAGCTAAGGTCTTTAACGGGTCTCGGTTGGAACAGCAAGGGAGTCAGGCTAAATCAAAGTGAGTAATAAATAGGGCTGGGGGTCAAAGCCAGAAGCCCCAATTTAATCCTAGCCAGGAGCCAAGAGCATTTCTTGAGTGGAGAGTAAAGAGATCAGAGTAGTCCTTCAGGAAGAAGATGACTTTGGTGTCTATGGTAGAAGGGAGGAAGGGGAGAATGGGCACATTGTAGGCACTGAATAACTGTTTTTTTCATTCATTTCTTGCCTTAGAGCTTTCTGCCTATCTCTCCTCCTTCACCCCTGTCTCAGGATGAAGTGGCCTTACTCCTCACCAAGGCTGACTCCTCTGCCTGTTCAAGAGATCCAGGTCCATCCCATCTGCTCCAGCACACTGTCTCCTCTGTCATCTCCACTCTCTCACTTGTTTTCAATCTCTCCTTCTCCATTGGCTCATTTCCTACTGCCTACAAACATACCCATGTTTCTTCCATCCTGAAAGAAACCCCTTCCTTGATCCTTCCATCCCTATCATTCTATATCCCTTCTGCCCTTTGTGCTCCTTGAAAAGGCGTTTCCTTGATCTGGCGCCTCCTCTTTCCTCTCACTCTCTTCTTAACCCCTTACAATCCAGCTTCTGACCTCATCATTCCACTGAAGCTGCCCTCTCCAGTTACCAAGGATTTCCTAGCTGCCATATCCAGTGATCTTTTCTCCATCCTCATTCTCCTTGACCTCTCTGCAGCCTTTGCCCCCATCAATCACTCTCATCTCTCTCGGTTTTCAGGACACCCCTCTCTCCTGGATCTCCTCCTACCTCTCTGATGGCTCCTTCGCTCTCCTTGGCTGGATCCTCCAGATCACACCCTCTAATCATACGTGCGCCTCAGGTTTTGTCCTGGGTCCTCTTCTCTTTTTCCTCTATAATACTTCACTTGGTGATCCCATCAGCTTCCATAGGTTTACTTTTGCTGATGATTCTCGAATCCCCAGTCTTTCCGCCAACTTTCAATCTCCCACTGCCTTTCAGTCATCCCAACCAAACTGGCTGTCTAGTAGACATCTTAAACTCAGTATGTCTAAAACTGAACTCATTCTCTTTCCCCCAAACCATCTGCTTTCCCTCCCTTCTCTGTTACTATACCTATGCTATACACCATCCTTTCAGCCCCCAGGAGTCATCCTGGACTTCTGCCTCTGTCTCACCCCCACGTCCGAGCTGCTGCCAAGGACTGTCAATTTCACCTTGGCCATGTCTCTCAAATATGCCTCCTTCTCTCCTCTGGCACAGCCACCACTCCACTGCAGGCCCTCATCACTGCATGCTGGGATTATCAATAACCTGGGGGGTAGAGAGTCCTAAGCCTGCTCTCTCCCCCTCCATACAGTTTCCATTCAGTTTTCTTAAAGCACCACCATTGCTTAGTAAAATCTAATGTCTCCCTTACGCCTCCAAGAGCAAGTATAAAATGCCCTGTTTGACATTCAAAGCCCCTCAAAACCTGGCCCCCTCCTTCCCTTCCAGTCTTCTTACACTTTACCCCCCAACACATGCTCTTTGATTTAGTGACACAGTCCTCCTGACTGTTTCTGGAACAAGACCCTCCATCTTTCCAATCTGGGCATTTTTTTGACTGTCCCCCATGTCTGGAAAGCTCTCTCTCCTCTGATCTGACCAGCTTGAAGTCTCAACTAAAATCCCATCTACAGGAAGCCTTCCCTAAACCCTCTTAATTCCAGTGTTTTCCCTTTTTTATTTACTTCCTATTTATCCTGTATATAGCTTTGCCTTGTACATTTGTGTTTATATATTGTCTTCTCTATTCCAGTGTAAGCTCCTTGAGGGCAGGGACTGTCCCATCTTGCATGTAGTGGGCATTTAATTAATGTTTATTGATTGAGTTTAAATCCAATCTCATTTCTCACAGCTTGTAATATTTTCTCCTTGACCTGGGAACTCTGGAATTTGGCTACAATATTCCTAGGAGTTTTCCTTTGGGGATCTCTTTCAGGAGGTGATCAGTGGATTCTTTCAATTTCTATTTTGCCCTCTGGTTCTAATATATCAGGGCAGTTTTCCTTAATAATTTCTTGAAAGATGATGTCTAGGCTCTTTTTTTGATCATGGCTTTCAGATAGTCCAATAATTTTTAAATTCTCTCTCCTGGATCTATTTTCCAGGTCAGTTGTTTTTCCAATGAGATATTTCACATTGTTTTCTAATTTTTCATTCTTTTGGATTTGTTCTACTGTGTCATGATTTCTCATAAAGTCACTATCTTCCAATTGCTCTAATTTTTAAGGCAGTGTTTTCTTCAGTAAGCTTTTGGACTTCCTTTTCCATTTGGCCAATTTTGCTTTTTAGGGCATTTTTCTCCTCATTGGCTTTTTGGACCTCTTTTGCCATTTGGGTTAGGCTATTTTTTAAGGTGTTATTTTCTTCAGTATTTTTTGGGTCTCCTTTAGCAAGCTGTTGACTTGTTTTTCATGATTTTCTTGCATCACTCTCAGTTTTTCCTCTACTTCCCTTACTTGCTTCTCAAAATCCCTTTTGAGCTCTTCCAAGGCCTGGGACTGATTCATATTTTTCTTGGAGGCTTTGGATGTAGGAGCTTTGACTTTGTTGTCTTCTTCTGGTTGTATATTTTGATCTTCTTTGTCACCAAAGTAAGATTCTATGGTCTGTCTCTTTTTGCGCTGCTTGCTCATGATCCTAGCCAATTACTTGAGTTTTAAACTCTTTGTTAAGGTAAGAGTCTGCTTCCAATGTGGAGAGTGTACTGTCCCAAGCTTCAGGGGTTTGAATAGCTGTTTTCAGAGATACTTGTAGGGCCCTGTAAATTTTCAGTTCTTCCAAGGTGGTATGACAAGGAGCGAGGTGTTTACTCCTTTCCTGGCCTGTGACCACAAATATTCCTTTCTGTCCTGTAACTGTGAGGAAGGGTTCCTCTCCACAGCCACTCCGAGTTCCATCACGCCAGCGCTCCTCACCCCAGCACCACCACCCAGAACTGTGGCCCAGATCCAAACACAGGCAAAGCAAGAGATTCCTGCCTCAGCACTGGCAAAGAGATCCCTGCAATCCCTCTCTGATCAGCGGCTGGATTCCCCCTCAGTCTGTGGGCCGGAAGCTCCGGGAGCAGCTTCCTCCCACCCCAGGGCCACGCTCTTGGGGAATGGAGCTGAAACCCCACCTTCCTGTCTCAGCACTGAAACAGACTTTTCCCACTGACCTTCTAAGTTGTCTTTGGCATTCGTGCATTGAGGAGTCTGGAAACCTCCACAGCTGCTCTAGATTCAGTCCTGTGAGGCCTGCTCCAGGTTTGCTGCAGCCTGCGCGCCCACGCCACGCTGCGCGCCCACCCCGGCGCGATACACCTTTCCGATCAATCATCCAGGTTGTCTTGGGCTGGAAATTTTTCACTCTGTCTTTTTGTGGGTTCTGCTGCTTTAGAATTTGTTTAGAGCCATTTTTTATAGGTATTTGGAGGGGTTTGGGGGAGAGCTCACACAAGCTTTTACTCCACCATCTTGGCTCAGCCCCCCCAACCTCATTTCTCATTACTAAACTTTGTGACCTTGGGCAAGTCATTTAATCTCAGTTTCCTCATCTGTGAAGTAGGAATAATAATAATAGTATCTATTATTACAGACTGCTCCTACAACTCCCAGGGTTGTCTTTAGGATTAAATGGGATAATAATTGTAAAGTGTTTAGCACAGTACCTGGCACACAGTAAGTTAGCTATTGTTATTATTATTACTACTACTGTTACTGAGGCTCTCTGGTAATAATAGCTTACCTGTAGCATTTGAAGGTTCACAAATGTGGAGTGACCACATTTTACAGAAACAGGCTGAGAAAGGACAGAGTCACACACAACCTGTAAGCAAATATTTTCGTCGGAATTGGAATTCAGGTCCTCCTGAGTCCACCAACTCTACCCTCTAATTAATTATGCTACCTCCTTTATAGAATAGAAAACAGAGGCCCAAGAAAGCTCACTTACTCAGTAACACAGAGTCGGTCTGGGGACAGATGAGAGAGATGCAGGCCATTGAGGGGACAAACTAGCTGCTTAGTTGCTGGGGACCCCAATTGAAATCCTGTAGGACAAACCCTCTGGTTTCAAAAAGATTTTACTTTCCTAACTAGGAAACCAATCCTCATTTGCTAATAATATTTTTGTGAAGTCGTTTTAGTCATTTGACTCTTTGTGACCCCATCTGTTTTTGTTTGTTTTGGTATTGTTTTGTTTTGTTTTTTGGCAAAAATACTGAGTAGTTTGGAGGAGGAAATTGAGGCAGTGTTCAGGGGCTTGCCCGAGATCACAAAGCTAGCAAATATCTGAAAACAGATTTTCTCCCTCAAGTAGCTTCGTAGCTAATTGAGAACTACAAAAATTAAAGCACGCATAATAAATGCCTACCTCTGAAAGCAAGTAACTTCCATTACTTATGTTGAAAAGTTGAGAACCTGTTTTCAAACGCAGAAAGGCTCGGAGAAACAATACTTTGCAACAATAGATGAACATTTGTTCCAGCTTCTTCACAGAAAGTACAAAACATCCTATGACCAGCAAAGACAAAAAGTACATAACATTCTAAGACCAGCCACTGAACGTGCAGCACCTTTCGCCTTCCCTCGGCACCCCGGGTAAACTCAGGGCGACCTGGCCTCCCCCCCCCCCCCGGCACAGGTGCGGTTCCGCACTACCTCCAACAAAAACACTGTTTAAAGTCTCTAAAGACGGAACCAACCCGCAGCGAGTTAAAACTGAGAAAAACACTGGTAAAGCAAGACCGAATTTTGGGCGTTAGAAGCATGGCGAACGCAATCGAGTGCTTCAATAATCTGAACACAACAAAAAAATGTCACAGTGACGTGAAAAAAACGCAAAAAAGCAAATTCACGGCATGACTCCCTGAAAAACCCGAAAAAGCAGCACATCGACACGCATTCACCTTTTTTTTTCCAACTGTTAAAGATAGTCTTGCCGAAGCAAGACCTCAAAAAATTGGTTCCAAACTCATAACTGTTCCTCTCCACGGAAATCTTTAGTAAAAGGCGAAAGATTTATGCGATCTGAAGAGAAACCAGAGTATACAAACACTTTGTGGGCTCCCCTCCCAGAGGAGCCCCGGCCCGGGTATAGTCAGGGCGCTTCCTGACTCGCCGGCCGCACCCCCCCCGCCCACATCCAAGGAGATACCGCCCGTGATCTAAGCCCCGGTGTGCAGCAAGAGCCCCGAAAAATATTCCGAAGGACGGAGCTGAGTAACCAGAGTGAAGGAGATGGCTCCCCCTAGCAAGGCATCATGGGTATGCAAATGAGGAACGCGGTCCCGCCCCTGCAGAGGTAGGTGCTTCCCCAGAGCTGGAGGCTGTGACAGAATGCGCATGCCTCAGGGACCTGCAGGCGTGAGTTGCTGGTGAGAAACCAGCACCTGAGCCCTTAAAGTCAACCCTAGGCGCAAAGGAAGAGTAGATTGGTAGTATGCAAGAAATAAAGTGTCCAGGGCTCAGGAACAGATGGAGGGGTTGGAGTCCCGTGTAGATGAGCAGGTTCAGGAATAGAGAGAGGAGAGGAGATGAGGTCTAGTGTGTATGGGAAGGATGGATAGAAGGGATGGGGTCCAGTGTAGATGGGGGTGTCCAATGTAGATGGGGGAGAGTTGAGGACAAATGGTGATGGAGTCCAGTATAGATGAAGTGTTCAGGGATAGATGGAGGGGAAGGGCTCCAGTGTAGATGGGAGTGTTCAGTGTAGATGGGGGTCCAGGAATAGACGAGAGGATGAGGTCCAAAGTAGATGGGAAGTCTGGGATAGGTGGAGAGGGTAGGATCCAGGGTAGTTGGGGGAATCAGATTTCTGGGTAGTTGGGGCAACTTGATCCTGGGTTCTCCTACTACATTGATTTTCTCTGGCTGTTCCCCAGAAGCCTTCTGTTTTCCCCACCCTCCCACTTCTGTTAACCTCTCCCCCCACCCCAACTGCCATTCCTTTGATCCTAGACCATCCAGGCTGTGTTTGAGCAGGTTAGAACTGAAGCTGGCTCTGCCCCTACTTCTGCCTCAGCCTGCTCTCCCATCTCTCTTCTGCCGGCCCCCTTACCTCATATCACTGCCCACGGAAGCTGGCCAGGGCTAGGGGCTGACACTGGCTGAGGAGAAGAGGAGGGGTTCCCAGGGTTCTGCCTAAGAAGGTGGGTGTCACTGACCATCCCCGAAGGCACTTTGGGGACCTGAGACCTCAGGCAGCTCCTTTTAGTGTGGGCTGCACAAGGAGGGAATCACCCACCCAGACTGAGTGTGACTCAGCCACCCGCTGAACTCCCTCCATCTATAGGGAGTCCCAGGGCAGTGTCCATGCTCTGCATGTTGTGCCCCTCTTCCTGCCCCTCCCCCATCAGAGGCTCCTGGAGCCTTCCTCTGTAACCCAATGTTCAGGCCCAGTGCCTGGCAAACAGTAGGCATTTAATCAATGCTTGTTGACCAACTGACTGACTGAAGAGAAGTTGTAGAGGGTTGAAATGGGGAGTGGACGTCAATGGTGTCTAATTCAAATAGGAATGGAGAGTATCCATTACCGTATGTTTTATCATTTTTTATTTATTTTCTTAAGTGTGTTTCCTGGCCTCTCCTTCAGGAGACCCACTGGCTCTGTGTCTGACACTTCTGGTATAGAGGCTTTCTCAAGGAGGTAGGGTGATTTGGAGGGGCGCCCTTGGGCAGCAGCAGGACACCCCCTTTCCACCACTGGGTTACAAGTATAACAGGCCTTCAACTTTTTAAAAAAGAAAAGAAGAAATACAAATAGGTCACCTGGACAGGCATGCTCAGTGGGAATGAGGTGCTTAATCTTGGCCAGGATCCCAAAAGAAAAAGGGGCTCTTTTCTGCGCCCACCTTGCCCCCAAGGTGCAGAGTATTGTTAAATATTCACCGTGAGCATTTATACCTTGGAAGTCCCCAAATGCTACAAATCAGGGCTTCATTTGTGTTATGTCAATTATCCAGACTAGAAGAAAGTGAAGGAGAAATTTTTAATAATGCATATTAAATTTAAAAGTGTGTCTGTCAGGGCATATCTTTTTTTTTAATGAGCCAGTTGTTAAACATTTTCTAGCACACCTTGGGCAGCAACTCCCTGCACCCCAACCCAGCCATGGGCTGCAGAAGCGTCCCTATGCCTCCTTTGTATCTCTGGGGGAATTCAGCCATCACCCTGATCCTCCCGCAGGGCCCTGGCTCAGTGCCTTCCTGGCCCTTCCCTCCCTTTCACCTCAGTGGGTAGACAGCCCTCCATCTGTGCCTCCTCCTCAACCTCCCCCACCCTCATCCTCAGGCTCTCCAACCTTCCCTCCAGTGACTTCAAAAACTCTCCCCTCCCACCCAACCCCCTTATCCTTACCCCTGGTGAATTGTTTGTGCCAGAGATGTGCAAACTCACCATCCCCTGAGAGTACTGGTCCCTCCATCTCTTTTCCAAGCCCCACCCCCCTACACAAGTCCATTGACTGCAAGCCATCCCTCTGTTAGGTGCCGCTGCCTTTGAAGCATTCACTAGCAGGTAGTTCTCCCCCACCCCCATGGACTTCTTCAGGTTCAATAGCCCCGATTATTTCACCCAGTAGGTGTCTGGCAGTCCCCTCTCTGTCCTGGCTGCCCTCTTCCGGACATATACACTTTGTTTATATCTCTCCTAAACTGTGGTGCCCCCAACTGCCCAATCCTCCAGGTGAAGTCTGTCCAGTGTTGAGGACAGAAGGAGGGAGAAAGAAAACCAGCATTTATTAAGCACCTGCTATATGCTAGGCACCGTGCTAAGTGCTTTACAAACATCTCATTTGATAGAGCCCATTTTACAGATTTTACAGATGAGAAAAAAGGTAGACAGAAGTTAAGTGACTCCCCCGAGGCTACACAGTCTGAGGTCAAATTTGAACTCAGGTTTTCCTGACTTCAGACCCAGTGCTGTATCTTCTCTGGCACCACCTAGATACTGGGGGGATCCTCTCCTCCCAGTTCCTAGAAGCTGGTCCCCTCTTCATGTATTCCAGGATCCCATGGTGTATGTTGGTTGCCACATCACCCTGTTCACTCATGTTGAGCTTGTGGTCCACTACAACCCTCAGATCTTTTCCAAATAAACTTTTTTGAACCTCCTTTCTACCCAAGCTTTCAATGACTTCTTACTGCTTACCAAATAAAGTTTACACTTCTCAGCCTGGACCTTAGGGGCTTCCACAATATGGTGTGCCCCTACTTTGCAGCTCTATGTATTCCTGTCCTGTCATACTCTCTGTGCCCATCCAAACAAACTACTCTCTGCCCACTGAACAGAACCTTGGGCTTTCTAGCTTCTATGTCTTTGCTCAGGCTGTACCCTCCACTGAGCTTGCCTTTCCCACCTTCCCATCCTAGCTTCTCCCATTTCTCCAGCCCAGGCAGACCTTACACTTTGCCCATCTCTGAAGATTTTATAAGGCTGTGCTCTAGTTATCCACGCCGGTCCCCTATCCCCTACTGTACAGTATACTCCCTGAGGGCAAGCAAGAGTCAGAGCAAGGGGCCAGAATCCCCTCTCTCCCGTTTACACCCTTTGTAACTAAGTACGGAGCCTCTGACTCTGGGCTGTTTCTCCATCAGTGAACGAAGGGGCATTGCCAAGGAAATCAGGATACCGACCAGGCAGCTTTTCCAGCCTCCTCTCTTCTTCTCTGTGTCCCCCAGTGAGGTGTGCCCCGACCTTGGGAGTGGCAAGAGGGGGGTTGATGGCTTATAGGCTCAGAGTCAGGCAGAGCTGGACAAAGAGGAGGTGGGGGCAGGGGGAGCCAGAGGGTAGAAGCAAAGGAGGGAGCCAGTCAAAGTTAGTAAGAGGCATGTGGAGCGGATACCCACCCCCTTTCCCTCTGGGGACTGGGCAGTTAACCTTGTTTGTTGGGGGGTTTTTTTCTAGTTTAGTTCCTTGCTTAAGTATCTCAATGTACATTACGAATCTTATGTAAATGAGATACTGTTAAGCTGCTGACACATTCGCGTTATTGTTGAGATTCCTGAGAAAAAGGGATGGGGAACATGTCCAAGGAAGGGAGATATTGAAACAGGCTATAATTTGCAGAGTGTAATCTCTGGGTGTGGACTCGAGTTTCTGATTTCTTTTCACAGCTTCCTCGTGTATGGGAAATGTGTAGGAGTGGATACAGCACCACCAGCTGGCTCGGTTTCTTGGAGAGGAGAGCCCTTCCCAGAAGGGAAGGGCAAGAGAAAGAGACACACACAGACAGAGATGGATAGAGATAGACAGAGACAGACAGAAGACACAACACAGAGGAAAGAGACAGAGACAGAGGCAGACAGAGAGGCAGAGACAGACAGAAATAAAGACACACACAGAGGAGAGAGAGACAGAGACAGAAGGGGAGGGAGACAGACAGCAGAAAGAGAGAGAGAAGAGAGATGAGAGACAGACAGGGACAGAGGAAAGAAACAGAAATAGGCAGACAGAGGCAGAGAGGCAGAGTCAGACAGAAATAAAGACACACACAGAGGAGAGAGAGACAGAGACAGAAGGGGAGAGAGACAGACAGCAGAGAGAGAGAGAGAGATGAGAGACAGACAGGGACAGACAGAGGAAAGAGACAGAAATAGGCAAAGACAGAGGAGAGAGACAGAGAGACAGACACAGAGAGAGAGAGAGAGAGAGACAGACAGAGACAATCAGAGACAGATGGATAAAGGAAAGACAGAGACAGAGGCAGACATACAGAGACAAAGACACACAGAGGAGAGAGAGAGAGAGAGAGAGAGAGAGAGAGAGAGAGAGAGAGAGAGAGAGAGAGAGAGAGAGAGAGAGACAGAGACACACACAGAGAGGAGAGAGACAGAGACAGAGAGCAGTGTTACAAAAACCCAGAGGAGGAAGATATCCAGGCAGGGGGGGGGGGCAAATGCTGCAGGAAGCCCAAGGACAAGGACAGGAAAAGGCTACTAGATTTTGGCAGTTAAGAGATCCTTGGTGACTCTGGTGAGAACTGTTTCCATTGAATGATGAGGTCTGAAGCAGAGAGCTGAGAAGAGGGCAGAGGAAGTGGAGGCACCCACTGTAGATGGTGGGGTTTGGCTGAGAGGGCATGACAGTTGGAGGGGATGGCAGGATCCACTGAGTATCTCGGGAGAGGAAAGCAGTAAGGGAGGAGCCAGCAGATG